CCTCCGCCTCGGCACGACGACGCTGGCGCGCGGCAACCTCTACTCTGCGCTCATCAACTACCTCCAGCTGCTCCAGGCCTCGTCTGGCAGGGAGGCCGCGGCCGGCGACGACTTTTCCGACACGGCCTCGATGGCCGCCACCGACTTTGATGACACCGTCTCTCTCGGCGGCCTCTCGAGCGTGGGCGGCGGCGGCGGCCGGCTGCAGGGGAGCACGCTCGAGGCCCGGACGCGGTCGTTGCTGCTGGCCAATGCCGAGCGGCTCATCGACACCATCGCCCGCGACGCCCTCGATGCCGCCGACGTCTGGAAGACGGTGGCCTTCACGCTGCTCGACAGGCTGTGCGCGCTCGAGGCCCCGCCGGCCTCATCGTCGGGCTCGCGCAGCAGCCGCGGCGCGTCCAAGGCGCTGCAGCTGATGCGTCGCCGCGGCTACCTCAAGAGCTTCGTCACCAGCCTCCACAACAGCGACACCGCGCTTCAGGACACGCTGTGCCCCGACCCGGAGAGCCTGAACGCGCTCTACGTCTACGAGTCTCGCCTCGCCTTCTTCAACCGCATCGCCCAGACGCGCGAGGGCGCCGAGAGCCTTCTCGATGCTGGCGTGTTTGACGTGCTGGCCCAGGCCGACTTCCTGGCGGCCCGGCCGGAGCACAACAAGGACTATGCCGATTACGAGAGCTTCCTGCCGGCCGCCACCGAGAGGTACCACGCCCTCGTCACGCCGGCGCTGCAGCTGGCCGCCAGCATCCTCGCCAGCACCGCGGCCGGCACCGGGTCCAACGCCTTCCAGGGCGCGTTTGGCAGCACCAAGGCGATTGCGCCATCCTCTGCGCACGCCGCCCCGCGTCAGGCCGTGAGCCTTCTGACGGCCCATCGCGAGGCATTCATCGCCATCCTCCGGGCGCCGCTGCAGGAGTGCGTCTCGGTGGCCGAGCTGGACCAGGCGCAGCTGCTCGTCTCGCTCTTCGTCTTTGTCATGCCCACCCTCGACGACGACGCGCTGCAGCCGCCCAACATGCTGGCGTCCTTCCACTCGGCCATCCTCGCGCTGGCTGCGCCGTACCTGCAGGCCACGCCGTGGAAGTCGCGCGTAGTCCCCCTCAACGACGCCGAGCGCGACGAGGCGAGGACGCCGGCATTCTTTGGTCGAGCCGCGAGGTGGGCCGGCGAGGGCACCGGCGACGATGAGACAGCCTTCGAGGCGCGCGCCTCTGGCGTCGTCGGCCGCGCCCAGCGTGCGCTGCTCTCGTACCTCGAGGCGGCGAGCAACTCGCGCGGCAACGAGACTCGCACGCGGCTGGTGCTGATCCCGTCGATGGCGGCGCAGCGCGAGCGCGCCAAGACGCCGTTTGACGAGGCTGGCCGCGCATCGTCGGTCCGCGACGAGCTCGACGGCGGGTACGGCGGCCGCCAGCCGTACCCTCGCGCCGCTTCGACGGCGGCGGTACCGAGCCTGGGCACGGCCGTCGCTGCGCTCGACGAGCACGTTGGCAGCGTCGCAAAGGATCTGCAGGCGCTCGAAAACGCCGAGGGCCTGCTCGACAACGCCGACGGAGTCCGCATGGACGAGTGGGACGAGGTGAGTATCTGCTGCTGTCGTCCGACCGACGCAAGGATGGTCCTGCCCTACCTCACTCTTGGCTGACCACGCCTGCTCTCTCCTGCCCTCTCCGATGGGTTCTAGATTGCTCGCGATGCGCTCAAGGTGATCGACCTGCCCACCGATCTGAGCCCGGGCCAGAGGAAGAGCATCGCGATCCGAGAGGTGCGCGATCGCAAGGCGGCGCTGCGAGCCTCGACGACGGCCAAGCTCGGTGAGTGGCTTGGCGAGCATGGCGAGGGGGCGGCGCACGCCAGCGAGGCGAGGCTACGTGCTGACCGTCTTGCTCCTTCCCTTTCGCCTACGGACCAACATGCTCGTGCACGTTTAGATGCCATCGAGATCCTGCTCGTGCTCCTGGTCCGACACGTCGACCTGTTCCTCAGCCTTGCCGCGCAGGCAGGCTCCAACGGCAGCACGCCGCTCTCGTCTTCGCTCTTGGGCACCTCGACGGCCTCGGGCCTTCTGCGAGCCTCTTCGCTGCGCCCGCGCTCCGAGACGCCCGGTGGCCCGTCGGCGTCAGCCCAGGACCGCACCACGCTCGCCAAGGAGGCATCGGCCATCATTGTTCCGGTCCTCGAGGAAAAGATCGGATACCTCACCTTGGTACGTGGCGCCTGCGCCGTGCCCCTCTCCACTTCCGTGGCTCGACACGTCGCTGCGCGATCGGGCACTGACGTTCCCCCTCGCTTCTTCCTCTCTCCTCGACTCGCTTTTCCCTCTTCCCACCCCCTCTCTCTCACACCTTCGTTTCCACTCTGCTGCAAACGGACAGTCGCCAAAAGCGGTGCCCAACGCCCGCGAGAGGCAGTCGTTCCTCCAGATGGCCGGGAGGAGGCTCGCCTCATTGCTCCTCGACGAGTGACGACCCGCCGCCTCCCCCCTTGTCCTTTATCGTTGCTCCGAGAGCCCTAATCCAAAACGCACGAACGAGTCTTGTACCGCTGTGTTCCGTGTTTCCCGCTGCGAGTCTGGCTGTCTGCTCGTGCGTGAGCGACCGACGTGATGACTGGCGAGGCTAGACGAGGAGGGTGAGCGGCCCGCGCTTGGCCATCCCTCTCTTCTATTCGACCCAAACTTGTTAGTTTTATATTGTTTAAATTCAAGGCTGATGACATCGCCTCCGAATTAGTTTAGTGGCTATGACGGCACCTTGTCATTCTGCGGACCCCTCTTCGCCGAGGAGGTGACCGGTGCAGACCCGGGTTCGATTCCCGGATTTGGAGCTTCTCTTTTTTTCTTTTGCCTGGCGTCCTCACCCACGCCCTGGCCACCGTGATTTTTGATTTTTGGTTTTTTTTGAAAGCCAAGCAGGCCGGCGGCTGCCGGCCGACTTTGGAAGTGAGCTTGGGGTTGTCGCCTCCACTTTTTTGGTGGTTGGCCTGTCGGGGTGGCTGGATGGCTGGCTGGGTGGCTGGCTGGTCTGAGGCCTGGCCTGGCCTGCCTGGCTTGGCCGGGCTGACGCGCGCTCGCCGACTCCGCCTGCCCGGCCAAGCCTGTCCCCTCGCTCGCCTGACCCCGAGGTGGGCGTAGGCCATCACCGCCTTCACCCTCGCCACCACCTCCGCCGCCCTTGCTCTCGCCAACGTCCTCAACACCTGCTCTTATATCGTCTCGACTCTGCATCATCGACAGCTCCTCCTCCTCCCTGTCCCCGGTCTGCATTGCCAGCATCCAGAAACCGCCCCTCTGCAGCGTCCCGTCTGAAGAACTCTCTCGGCGCTGCGACGGATCGCCAAGCTCTCTCCTCTGATCCACTCAAACCAGCCCTTGACTAGCTCAAAGAGGAATCCAGCGCTCCGTCAGACCGCACAGACCCGGTGACCATACCCCTCCGCCCCGCCCCGAACCACCCCGACCCGACTCGCCGACCATGTCATCGGGGATCGGCTCGCTCTTCTCCTCGCTCTTCCTCTACCTGCGCTCGCTGCTGTTCTCAAAGCACCTCGAGATATGCGTCGTCGGCCTCCAGGCGGCGGGCAAGACGTCGCTCGTCAATCTCCTCAGCTCGGGCCAGTTTGCCGACGAAATGGTGCCCACCGTCGGCTTCAACATGCGCAAGGTCCGCAGCGGCAACACGACCATCAAGGTGTGGGACATTGGGTGAGTGTGGGGCGCAGGCGCACGTCGCCGAGTCGCCGCGTCGCTGGCCATCGCACGGTTCCCGCCTTCCCGAACATCGTCTTGACCTTGGTCGCCCTCTCCCCTCTCCGACGGTCGTCCGTTGCAGCGGACAACCTCGCTTCCGAAGCATGTGGGAACGCTACTGCCGGGGTGTCTCTGCGATCCTCTTCGTGGTCGACTCTTCGGTCCCATTACCGAGCGGCAAGGACTCGACCGAGCAGCAGCAGCAGCAGCAGCAGCAGCAGCAGCAGCAGCAGCAGCAGGAAGGCGGTGAGGGCGGCTCCACATCCGCAAGCAACCCGTGGCTCGTGGCCACCGACGAGCTGCACGCCCTCATCGGCAGGCCGCACCTCGCCGGCGTGCCGTTGCTGGTGCTCGCGACCAAGAACGACATCAAGGGCGCCGCCGGAGTCGACGACGTGATCCGAGTCATGTGGGTTCTCGTGGCATCGTGGCGCTATCGCCCCCCGGGGCGAGCGACGAAAGCAGAGCATTTAGCTGACTCTTACCTTCAACCCGTCCCCCCCTCGGTCCTCATCCACCCTCGAACCCTTCACGCGATCCGCCACCGGCGTATCTGCAAACAGGCGCCTCGACACGATTGCCAACCGCGAGGTGTCGTGCTACAGCATCAGCAGCAAGAACCAGGTCAACATCGACGTCACGCTCCGATGGCTCGTCGCACGCAGCCCGGCGGGAAGCAGATGAGCAAGCCCCAGCACCGCCTCTCGTCGCCCCAGCTCGCCCCGGCTCGCCTCGCCAGAACGGCCCTACCTGTCCTGACAGCATCTTCCTTCGGCCCACCGACCACGCAGTGCAACGGCAACCCTGGACGCGCTCCTCCACCTTGACCTCGTACACGCTCACTCGTCTCCTCAGCTCCCACGTCCCATTCACACTCTCCTTGATCCCGTCCACCATCTTTGACCACGCACGTCGACGTAGTCGCACCGTCCACGACGCACCCGCAGCGCGGCAAGGGACGTACCCTTCCATCGAAGCGCCTAGGCTGCTGCGCTCTTGGTCGCTCACGGCGGGCACCGTAGCCAGGTGGCTGCGCCGCTGGCACACGGACCAGGCACTCATCCGCGCGCACCTCGAACCTGCCCGGCCTGGCCTTCTCGAGCCTGTCCCTGCGCAGGGCCCTCTCGGCCCACGAACCCGGTGCAGCTGGGGCCCATGTCGGCGCATGGCCCGGCTTCCTCCCGCCGCTCTCTCGCTGCCCCTTCCGCCCGTCCTGTCTCGTCTCGCCTCGCCTCGCGACCGCCGCGTCCACGCGATCCACGGCGGGCGTCGCCCTCTGACTTTCCGCCCATGGTGCCACACAGCTCGACGCCTCGACGCGATCAACGGCTTGGCTCTGGCCTTGATCTCAAAGGGCAGGCGGGGCAGAGACGATGCTATGCTACGACGGGAGCGTTCCGAACGGAACGGTATAGAAGGCGGCAAAGGAGGAGGCAGGGCCGGATCGATGTAGAGAAGGACAAAGAGAGAGACGGGCTGCTGCGCTGCGCTGTGGAGCGAGCGGAGCGCGAGGGCACTATCATGGGGTGGAGCTGCGGGATGGGTGGTATGGGAAGGAGTCGGGGGTCAGGGCAAGTGGAGAGGGCAAGGATGCAACTGGGGGCAATGTAGAGGAGCGCATGGCAGGAGGCGCATGGCAGGAGGCACAGGGAGAGAAGCTGGGGGGGATGGGAGCAGAGAGAGGGAACCGCGCGAGGGGCAGGCAGGCCGGCCGAGCCGGGGGCAGCCTTTTAGGCGTGCGCCGTCAGCGGCTGGCCTGGGAACCTCGGGGCGAACATCTCGATCTCTTTGGTGGTGGCGGTGGTGGTGGTGGTGGTGATGGTGTTGCTGGTGAGGTGGTACGAAGGCTGTCGGTCCACGGCGGCGGCGAGCGGCTTGGCCGGGCTCGAAGAGGCGCTGCTGTAGCAGCTGCCCGTGCCGAACT